GAGCCGTGGAAGAGCGCCGAGTTCGAACGGGTTTCGATTAGTTCTAAAATATAATTACATATATAGACACACATATAGTTAAATATATAATAGCTGGATATCATGTCTGCGCCCACGCTGAATCTGGCCGCCATTGTCAAGGAGGCAAAGGACGAGGAGATCCAAGTGCCCAAGTCGAACGATTTCTTCGAGTCGAAAACCTTCCGCCTGCTCACCCTGGTCCTCTATATGGGCGGTGTCAGCGGCATGGGTCTAACCCTGGCCATGTACTATCTGTTCATCTGGGACTCGCGTATGCCGCCGCTGCCCATCTTCAAGCATACGCATCCCATTGGCTAGGCGGAGGACACATGGACGACGGCATCAAACACCAAACTCTACTCTCTTCCTCTTTCATTTTTTCCTTTTTTGGGTAAGTCTCTTGTGGAGGGAAGGTGTCTTAGGGCACCGTCCCTGACACCGCCCCGCTTTCACTTTGTTTTGACCTGCGCTTTATGCTAAACACACGGATTAATCGAGTGGGCGATGTTTGGGTGCGTGGGCGTGGCAGGGCTGCTCATCCAATGCGAAATGCAATTCAATGAGCCGTGGTGGGGTCGGCGCAGGGGCGAGGGACCCTCTCCGGTCTTCATTTGATATACAAGTGAATACGAACGAAATACAAAAAAAAAAAAAAATTGACAGGCACGCAGAAAACTAATCCGCTTTAGCACCTACTGGGCTAGCCAGCTCAGCGCCACTGCGTCGCTGGCGTCCGATTTTGATTTAATCGACGTCGACGTCAATCAAATGAAATCAGTAATCGGTGCGACGCACAGCTAGCCGGGCCAAAGAGACCCTCGATTCACTGGCCATAGAGCGCAGAGCGGAGATATCTGAAATTCCAGCATGCCAGCCGAAATCCCAGCCAGCGCCAACCTGGCCAAGATTGTCAATATCATTGGCTCGAATGTGCGCGAAGTTCCAACAGAGTCGGCGAGCGAGCCGCCACCAGCAGCACCACGTGAGGCGACCTCCGCCATCGGCAGCTCACGGAGTGTGCGTCTCGCCAGCAGCGGAACCCCTCGCCGGGCCGCCTACTGCTACGTGCCCAAGTCGCCGCAGCTGGAGGAGATTGTGTTCGCCGAGCCGACATGCTCGGAGCGATTCGCCCGCTACTTTGTGCTGGTCATCTATCTGTGCGGTCTCTGCAGCCTCGGCTTCTTTCTCTCCATCTATCACCTCTTCTTCTGGGACTCGCGCATGCCGCCCGTCTTCAAGGGCCAAAAGAAGCCGCCGGCCTTTGGCTAATTGCTAGCTAGCTGACCACGTTGGTAAGTGGATGGCGGGCGGGCGAGGAAGAGAGTGGCAAGACGAGCTAACTCTACCTTTTTCTTATAGATAGATATAGATACTTTGTATAGAGCTATAAGAGGGAGAAATGAAGGGGTCTGAAGAGGTAGAGATGGAAGATTGATCAACTTTTGCGCCATATATGGGGGCAAGGGAAAGAGACAGATGATGGGGAAACTATGTAAGAATACTGCACTTTCTCATTGGGCTACCCTAGTTCACATTAGACAAAAGTTCAAACTTTTATAACATTTTTATATAGAATCTATATAGAAATCTGAGCTATGGCTATATATGGAAATATGTGCCTATAAGGGAGATCTYTACTAACAGATTTTTTTAATTAAGAGAGTAACGCAAATGAGGAGTACAAAAGTTCTTTAGTTTTATTATACCCTGAACCCATTGAAAATGGGAAATCAGGGTATAATGGTTTTGTGAAAAGTATGTAACAAGCAGAAGGAATCATCGCAGACCCCATAAAGTATATATATTCTTGATCAGGACGACGAGCTGAGTCGATATAGCCCTGTCCGTCTGTCCGTCCGTCCGTCCGTCCGTCCGTCCGTCCGTCCGTCCGTCCGTNACTTCAAATTTGCGTTGTATATAAAGTTAATGGATACAAAGATTTTGTAATTTACAGATTTTGGATACCACGCCCCCTTCGCCCCCAATTTGTAAAAAACGCATTTCAAGTACTAGAGACTTGTGCTTTGAAATGTACACACATTTAAGCCATATGATTACGCTCTAAAAGTTTCATTAAGATCGTATGTCTACAAAAGAAATTATTCAACAAATAAATTCTCGTTATATTGCCCACACTGCAGTGCAGCCCAAGCGCAGCCGCTGCTAGCTGCGCAGTTTGCAAAGCGCGTGCTTATACGTGCATGTGTATGTATGTGTGCATAAWAGAAGTCCAGAATGATTAGARTWTCAGTTTGGAGGGTTCAGGGTATCTCCTAGTCGAGCAGTCTCGACTGGAGCCTTCTTACTTGTTTTAAATATACTTCAGTTTTTAAAGGAGTGACAGAGAGAGAGAGAAAGAGGGATAGTGTGTGCATACAGGGTATCTGCTAGTCGTGCATCAACAACTCCAGCAAACTCCTATTTTACTTTACTTTACAATCTGCTTGATTGATGGCAGCTCTCTATTGCGTATAAGAGTGACTTATACGCAACAGCGATACCGTTAGTTGCCGTTAAAAGGAACGACTATTTTTGAGTTTGTTTGCCATTCAAGGTGGCGCGACACCTGCGAAGAATCCTTGAGGGCCATTTGCAAACAATGTTGCACTCGCTGTAGCTGGGCAACCGGAATGGGCGGAGGGGGSTGGAATGGGCTCTGAATGGAGGGAGGGAGGTAGGTAATGGAGGTAGAGTGGCTGAGGCACTGGGCGCTTGGCCTACATTTGCGCCAGCCACATGATGAATGTGTGCGCGAGAGTGTATGCCTATGTGTGTGTATGCCTGTGTGTGTGTGTGTGTGTGTGTCTCGCTTATACAACAAAATCAATGGCCAACCGCTGCAATCGTTCGATGCCCGCTCTCGGTCTCGCTCTCTCACGCGGCCACTCTCTGGCGCGCACCCTCTCTCTCAGTTTCTGTCTCTGTCATTCGCTCTCTCCATCTCTGTCTCGCGCGCGCAGTTGCATTCGTTTCGTTGTCCTAGTGACCTAGTTGCAGATTATTAACCTCCAGTTAACGACAAACGGATTTGCCGAATTGAAATGGAAAACAAGTAAAAGTTTTACACAATGCACAAAGGATATACTCCCCGTATACCCTGTAAAAGCTAATTACTAGGGGCAGATGGCGTAGGGCTAGACATAACAGAGTAGAAGAGTGTAAGAGTACAAGAGTTTACAAAGATCCAAAAATATAGAGCAAAGCTCTAGTCTATGCCAAGTGTTTTCGATGATCGCTATGTTAAGAATGTTATTTAATAGAGCTTTAACAGATCGGATTTGCATCATGTCCTAGCTCATACAAGAGTTGTGGCATATCTACTGAAGCTGCAGCCGAGCCTACCCTCTGTTGTCGAGTTTGTAGGGCATTGAAAAGCAATAAAGCAGCGCATGGCGCTTGCTGGCGAAAGGTGCGCATGGGGCAGGTGCTGGTGCGGTTGCAGGACATCCCAGCAGCGAAAGTTTCCCACACACACACACACACACACACATGCAGACAGACAGAGATAGACACCTACATATACTTATACACAACAGTATAGTTGAATTCGCCTTGCCCACTGTTGTCCTTCGCACACAGCCGTCTGCGAAGGTTGTCCCGGACACGGTCACACTCAAAAGTCAGATGCAGCGCAGCGACTGCAACGACTGCAACGACTGCAGCAACTGCAGCAACTGCATGGATGCCAATTAAATTGTCGAAATGTCTGGAACATGATTTCATTTGAATTATGGACGAATGCGCGCTTCGTTGAGTTTTTTCTTCAGTTTCTTAAATTATTTATTTATTAATCATCTATTTTTGCGGTCAAATTGAGGCGCGCATTTGTATTTCCGCGTGCAATAAACAACAAAAACGAGCGTGGGCGTGAACGTGGGCGTTGCGCTCTTGACACATAAAGCAGTGACAGGGCCTCAAGACGTGCCGATATGCTGCCTCAGTCGCTGGCGCTGGCGCTGCCGGCGTCGCTGTTGCAGTCTCAGCTCGGCTGGCTGGCTGACTGACTGGCTATGTTTTTGTTTTGGAATGCCAGCGGCGCGTGCCAGTTGCATTTAAAAACAACAACAACAACAAAAGCAACAGTAAGACAGCTAACGAACCGCATCCAGACGTCGCGGTCGCAGCTGACGTCGACGTCGGCAAATTTGTATGTAAATGGAAATGAAGCGAAATGAGCAGAGGCAGGCAGGCAGCGAGCAGGCAACGAGCAGGACGCGAGCAGGCAGTGAGCGAGCGGCTGACAGCTGGCGTAGAGTAAACAGGCATTTTATGAATGAAATTATATGCGAAAAATGCCGAAAAAGCGCAACGCAATGTAGAGGATCGCAAAGGCTAGAGAGAGAGCGAGAGAGTGAGCGAGCGAAAGAGGGAACGGAGCGGGAGAGGGAGTGTGAGTCGGGCGACAGGCTGACACGAAGTCTAAGCCGAACGAAACGCAGCAGCAGACGACGAGGAGCAGGCGATGCCGATGACGATGACGATGCCGCGCTGCCGCTGCCAATGGCTCCTGCACCGACTGAGGCAGCAGCTGAAGCAGCACCAGTAGCAGCAACAGCAGCAGCAGCAGCAGCAGCAGCAGCAGCAAAGGCTCTGCTAACGGCAAAAGCTTTTTGCGCTTGGGCGTCATTTCGCTTGCATTCGCTCGACGCGTCGGTTGGCAGCTTTTTTTTTGGGTGACGGCGACTGTGAGAGCGACGACTGTTCCAACTGGAGCTGTCAACAATAACAATAACAAACTACAAGAACTTTGCATTTATGTACAACAACAACAACAACAAGTAGACTAACAAATTGCACTGCCAAGAAGAAGAAAAAAACTTTAAAAACTTTAAATATATACATCGTATATATGTATATATAGACATATATGTATAGAAAATGAAAGTGCATAATAACAATAAATAATTTACAATCAAAAATATATAAACATCCAGCAACAAAATCAAAAAAGAAAACAATCTGAAAATAAGCAGACACAACGAAAATCAAAAGAGAAGCAGAGCAACAAGAACAGTTAGACAACAACGAACATGAATTCCAAAGTCAATTCGCTGGAGGAGAAAGTGAAACTGCCGCCAACGGAGACAATAAGCCGTTGCTATCAGCCGCAGCAGAGCAACCGTAAGGTCATACGCATCCTAACGGTAGCCGTCTATGTGCTGTGCGTATCGCTGGCGGCCATCATGCTATCGCTCTACTATATTTTCATATGGGATCCGACCATACGGCCCTTCGTCACCAAGGCCAATCAGTGCGGTAAGTGTTTTGGCGGCGACGGCGACGGCGACGGCGGTGACGGCGTCTAACGGCACATGCCCAAAAATGCCGTTAAATAAGTTAAGGATTAACTGTAACTGAAACTGCACTAGTTTTGCAAAGTATGTGGGTGAGGTGGGGCAGGTGGGGAGGGGGGTAGCGGGGAAATGTGGGTGCTTTTGGGCAATGGTCAAGTGGACATGGAAAAGAAGGAGGGGTGGGGGTAGGGTTCCGCCACTAAATCAAACTGGGACACAGGCTTTCAACTAGGCTACAGCTAAATTGCATATTACACACACTCACACACGCACACACTCGCTGGCACTCACACACACACATTAACTAGCTGGAGCGAGAAGTAGATGAGGCGTTATAACAATAACGGTAACGGCTCGGAACGCTTTCGGTTCTCGTGCGGTTCTCGTTGTCCCGGAAGGGCGTGAGAGTTTGCTTGCATGTTCTAGCCGTTCTTCTTCTTCTTCGGCTTCGTCTTCGTCTTCCTCCTTCTTCCTTCTCTACTTGTGTTATTCTTGTTGCTGTTGTCCTTTTACAGTTTTGTAAATCAACTCGAAATTGGGTCAATGGGCTATCTCTCATGCGTATGTGTGTGTGTGTCTGTGTGTGTGTGTGTGTGGTAGTGCCTGCATGGCTTTTGCGGTTCAATAAACGCTTTGTCACAACCCATGAAATTGGCTCAGCCAGAAAAATTTGCCCAATGCTTGACCCAGCACTAATGCATTATCATAAAGCAGGCCAATGTGTGGTTAGGAAATATCGTTGAAGTACCGTTAAAATTTAGATATCAAATTTTATGGGTCTGCAAGGCGATTGCGGGCAACTCGGAATTGAGTAGTTTATAATATATAAATATTGTATTTATATATTTGTGTATAACTGAATGATAAGAGTCGATAAATAGAGTTAAATAACTTTAATAATTTTATATTTTATAGAACACTTTGAAGTTAAAAGAGAATTCAAAGCGAATTCATTTACATATATAAGTATAAGCTCGGCTTCTGGAGCTGAATCTATTAACTCTCAGATAATCTTATATTTACGCACTTATACACACTCTTATACGAGCTCATTTCAGAACCCATTTAGCTAGCGTGAAGCTGTAATAAACCAGTTCTGAAGTCCACTCTAGTCAGCCTATATTTGAATGTTTTTAAAAATAGTTTGACCCAGTCTAAGCTGTGCCCACTTAAAGCCATTCCAATTCCACATTTATCTATTAAAGTCAACTAAGTATGAGTTCGTACTGACTTTAACTTGAATACAATTTAGAAATGGTAATAAAATCTAGTTTTTTCATTAGTTCTAGTAGTACATTACAAGGATTGAAATTGTTTCGTTTTACACTAAAAGCAATAAATTGGGATAGCTTGAGATTCATTTAGAATATTTGTTCAAAAATATATATAGCTACACAATAAACTTTAGCAAAGTCTATGTTAATTTGCTGGTCTTTATTGAAGTTTTAAGAGTTAAGTTTGAGAAAATGGGTGTACTGGCTCACGATAGAATCGATAAGTATTGGTCTTGTATGTGTGACTGTTAGTATGAACTTGATCTAACCAATTGGACATATTAGTTCTTCGATAAATATAGATTAAAGTGCAACATATCGATAAATATAGATGCATTTTAAGTGAATCGATAAATATCGATTTGGACCAATTGTTTTTCAAAATAAACTACACCTGACATGCCACCTCTTCTATGAATACCGTCGATAAATATAGCTGCAGGTCAAGCAAATAGATAACTATCGATTCATTTCGCGATTCAAACCTTAAAAAACTCCTAGAGATCGTCTGACATTTGATATCTGATATATTCACAAAAATAAGACTCATTGATTGGATCTATTTCTTTTGTATCTGCATAAGAATCAATATAATTAATTATCGATAACAAATTTTTCGTAAATACACATACATAAATAGCAGCTCTGAAAACAACAGTTAAACTGATCAGAGAGTAGACTTTCCGGGTATCGCTCTACCTGACTTTTTCTCAACAATATTCCATTTTGCTTGCAGACAAAATTGTGATACCCGAAAAGATTGCCATACGCCTATTAAACTCATCGGAAGTCACCGCAGAGCAGTTCTACAAGCACATCCTCGAACAGTATCGCATCCTGAACCACTTGCAAATGCAGCGCCAGCAGTTCCTGCAGAAGCAGCATCTGCAGCTGCAGCAGCTGGAGGCAAGCAATCGCTTCCAGGAGGTGTTCGCCACGGCCACCATCTACCAGGCGCATCAGCAACCACGTGATCCGCTCCAGAAGTCAAAGGCTCTACAGGCTGCCTCGTCGTTGTCCTCGGCCTCCATCTCCTCCCTCGCCCTGGCCAACAATAGTAGTGGTAGCAGCAGCAGAGACCCGTTTCGCCTAGAGCCAGCAGTGAATGGGGACAGCTCGTCGCACCACCTGCCCCTCGTGCTAGACACTTCACCACCGGCAGAGGGCAACATTCAGCATGTGAAGCGGAAGACTCATCGTGGCCATTATAAGCACCATCGCAGTCGAGCCGGTGCCAAGAAGCTGGCGGAGCGAACCGGTGCCACTGCAACCGTTAGCACTACAGCCAGCGAGCAGCCAACTGTGGCTGCACCACACGGCTACATGGATGCCCCACTCAATCCGGCAGCCGGCACCATTCTGCAGCAGCCGCTGCAGCTCTACACATCCATGCCCATACCGCTCATCCTCAGTCCGAGCAATGGGGAGAAACGCCTGTCACACCACAGCCACAGCCATGCGCACGGCGAGCGGCGGGGCATGGGTGGTGCACAGGCTAGACGACGCGCCACCACAGCCACCGTATCGGGCTACGATGCGCAGACCTACCTCAATCCCTTCCTCACCGGCGAGCTCATCTTCGAGAAGTAAGCAGCTGAGCCACACTCGCACTCACACGCACACATACACACCGACACAGACACACTCACACTCGCTGAGAGATACACGTTGAACATTTGGCCAAAGTTTAGCTAAAGATACTTTACTTTAAGCATCTGGCATCGGCACCGGATGAGAAGGGAATCGAGACTCGGACACTGTCATATCACACAGTTATAGCCAGACTTTTACTACTACAACTACAACTACAAATACTTGCACTCTAGCAGATGCATCAGATATGACTATATCACATATACATATATATATCAGAGTTGGCTTTTCAGATTTCTTTCTAGGCCCAGTTCACACTGAACTCTATATCTAAATGGCAAATGATTTGATATAATTGACCAGCTGCTAAAGTTCCTGGTAAAGTTCATGTTAGTTGAGCTTCTTCACAGAGGAATTGTCAATTGCTGCACTCTTTTGACCGGAGAGGGTCAACAAGTTAACAGAGAATTGACATATGTTAACAGCCACTTTAACTAGCTTGGTTAATATTTAACAGCTAGTCAAACGAGCAGCTAAATTGAACTTCATGCTCATTGTAGAGCAGACAATGATGTTAAATGGATTTGAAATGGAATTGCGCTCAATGAAATTCTAGAACAGCTCTGGTAGAGGTCATAGACGATGCACTGCACGGCACCTAGCGACACCTCCCACTACGTATATACAAATATATACACACCCAGACATATATATATATCCAAATATTTCAAAGAAAACAACTATA